GCAAAAAAAAAAAAAAAAAAAAAGCCCTGATGGCAATTTAAGAAACAATAGAGTCAACTCGCGCTGCCGGCTCGGCTACTTCAAGTGTCATTTTCCACAACCAGGCAAGTTTTTTCCTCTCTTTTTTCCCTCCTTCTCTCCCAACCAAAGATGTTTCTTCCCTTCAGTGCGTATTGATGAGGAGGACGCCGGTGCCGGAGACAGAGACACCCGAGCGGGCGACTGGGATGGGGGGAAGGGGGGAGACGGAGGGAGAGAGGAAGGGGGGGAGGGAGAGAGAGAGAGAAGGAGAGGAGAGGGAGAGAGAGGGGTGGACCCTGCCGGATGGAGATTCTGTTTTCTCCCCGCTAAAATAGGAGTGATTTGCAGGCTTTCCCTATGGAATCCAGTTTGACTCTCCCCAGAGCTAAACACAGGCACACTAACCCCAAAGGGAGGAGGCGGGGCCCGTGCCTCCCGGGCCCGCCCCCTCATTTGCATAACGTCATTCTTCCGCCTCGCCGCAGCCAATCGCGACCCGGGAGCCTGCTGGCTGGCTCCGCGGGACCACGCTCCCTCATTAGCATCCCTCTCGCGAGCGGCTCAGGGGAGCCGGCCCAAGTTCCTTGCAAAGTGGCGAGCGCAGGATCGCTGAGCTGCGGTGTCGGAGCTGGGGAGGAGCGGGGCTGGGCAGGGCAGGGCAGGGCAGAGCCTGGCAGGAGAAGGGGGACAGAAGGAAAGGGGAAGGGATATTTTTCTCAGGGATTTGGGCTGGGGTCTGCATCCCGGACGTTGCGGTCCTTTATAACATCCTCGCGGCTCCCTGAGTGCGCTCGGGGCGCACCGGCTGCGCCCTCCCAGGGCCGATGCCGCGTCCTGTTCCGCTGTTCTGGGACGTCGGGGGCAAAAGTGGAGGAGACGGGAGATCCTGGGCAGAAAAAGCAGGACGCGCATGCCAGGTGCCCACCTCTTCGCTTTGAGGAGGGGGTGGTGGGCTGGAAAACGGGTGCTGGAGGTTGGGGCTGGGAGCTCGCGGAGGGCACTGCCTTCGCGCTGGGAGGGGTGTGGGGGACATGGGCTCTGCCCCTAACTTGGCCTCTGAAACGCGTCTCACTTTGGCCGCTAGCCTTGAGGCCGCAGGCGTTAGAGGAGGTGTCCTCATGTGCTCACTTCTCTCGAGTAATCCGCGGATGCGTAAAGGTGAAATGAATGCTCTCGCTGGAGCTGTGACGGGATGCGTTTTGAAATTGACTCAGATTGGATTCCCCAGCCCCTCTCCCCCGCCCCCAAAGTAGTTTTCCATTAGAGTAACTATCAAAAGCAACAACGGTGCCTCTGATGAGTTGTTTATTTGGTGTAGGGCTTCCCTTATCCCCATTCTTTTTGTTAAAATCAGAGGCTTGAACAAACCCTCCCCAACTTCCGCCCTGCCGTATGTCAAGTGAGAGACTGAGGAAAGAAGGAAGGAGGAAGGAGGAAGGAGGAAGGAGGAAGGAGGAAGGAAGGAAGGAAGGAAGGAAGGAAGGAAGGAAGGAAGGAAGGATCTCCTACCTCAGACCTTTGGCATATATGCTTGCGGCTGGCAAAGGAAATAGCTAGATGTTTCTGGGTAATGTGCCCCATCATTTTTTAGCAGGTTGTAACCTCTAATAAGCACATGGTGAACTTCTGTTTCATTGCCCTCAAAGGAACTCCCTGACTGCAGCCAAATCTGCTAAGGACTCCTTCGGGGAAATTCTTTGCCAGAAATCCAGGTCCCCTTTCTGCTGGCCTTGCTTGGCCCTTTGATTTAGGAAGCCCATGGGGTCAGTGATGGAAAAGTACACATGCCCATGTTGAATGGCATGGAGACAGGCAAGAGTTATGCTTTGGCAAAGCAGGAAAGTGGGAGCCACTTCCTGATTCCCAAACTGGATGAGAAAGACTGCGTTCCAGGCCTGTGGGTACATGGCCACTGTCCTCAAGCACTGCTTTATCTCCTATGCACAAAGCCTCCCAGCTCTCATACCATCTAATCAGAACCACTAACATGCTAATCACTTTCTCCCTAGTACCGTGATTAATGCCATCTCTTCCAAGACACTCCTGGAGAGATCTGTCTGATCCATCAGGATTCCCACAGCATCTACCAGAGTTCCTGGCACACAGTAGGTGCTCAAGAAGGATATGTTGGTGCAGAGAAGTGCAGGACTATAGGTTTGTGGGCAGAAGAAAAGAGGGAGTTGGACCTTCTCTGTCTCTTTAGAATTTAAACGCACAATTGAAACGGCCTGCTGAAAACTTCCCAAGGCTCCAAGCTTAACCTCAAGGCCCAAAGGGCCCCCAAGATCCAATCTCTTCCCCTGCCTGCTCTCAGGCGATCCTTCAAGAGAGGCCACCATCCTATCACTGAGTCCCAGACAGCCCTCGCATAAGATCCAGGGCTGTCTCTCAACTGCCTGAGCCTCCATTTTCCTGGGCAGTAAATAGTATTCAGGATTCCAAGTTGAGTCCAATGAGGTATATGCCCCAGTGACAGGGAATACACAGTGGGGTACAAGATCACTGCCAAAGGGAGGTGGCAAAGGCACCAGAGAAAGGGGAGAGCCAGCAGCTCTGACGACCATGATCAGTGTAAGGCACAACAGATGGATCTCTGGGGCGTCGTGGAGGCTGGAGAAGCACTCTGCAAGTGATGTGTTTGTTCAAGGGCCTGAAGCTGCCTGATTCAAAAGAGAAATTGGCCCAGAGAAGGAAACTTTCAGCAGCCCAGTTCCTGCCCCAGAGCCAGTAATGTCCAAGCACTAAATAAGAGGAGGCGATCTCCTCCTCTGCCAGGCCCTAGAAGGGGGAAGAATGCAAGAGTGCAGGAACTTTTGATGAGACGAATGCCCTTTGGCTGTGTGGGGGCAGCGGGCACCTCATCTGGGATGGTGAGCGTACTTTGTTTTAATCCAGCAGAGTGTATCCATAGCTTTTCTTCTGGTGTCCTTGTGCTTGCAAACCTGGCTTT